CGTAAGAGAGGCACTTGTCCTTAATGGAGTTTTCCTCTAAGAACAGCTTCCAGTTGAGTATTGGTATGGCACCGTTTAAGGCCTTATATGGCCGACCATATAGATCCCTTGTGTGTTGGGCTGAGGTGGGTGATGCACCAATGTTGGGTCCAAAGCTAGTCCCTACCACATACCAAATTTAAATAGTTTGTCCAAATCTTAAAAAAATTCGGGCTGCACTAGGGTTACTCGGGTTGAGCCCACCCAAGTTGCACCACTAAGTATTTGCTATATGTTAGGCAACTAGAAGGGAAATTAATGTAATTTTCAAAACTTGAGGGGAGGTTCTTGTTATTATCATAAACTTCAAGAGAGATTAGTGTAATTTAAAAAAAAAAAAAAAAAAATATAGGAAAAAAAATGAAGAAAGTGTATAACGTACACTGCATATCTTATACTAAAGGTGAGAATTTTGACACGACACGATAATACAATTTGAACCGTACACAAAATCAACAAGTTAAAATTAAAAATGCTGCTATTAGCATCCCATAAATTTTTTTGGACCCCCCAATTTTTAACTTTTTTTATTACAATAATAACCTCAAATAAAAATATTAAAAAGGACATCATTAATATTGGGACACCCAATCTCACAATTAAATCTACACATCTATTACATCATGAATTAGGGTTTATGAGAGCACCTACCTCCATCACCACCCATCCATCTTCCCCAAATCCCATCTTCAAACCCTACCCACCCTCAAAACCTTGAAAACACTTTGACGACAGTATTTCAGTGGTAACAGTGGCAACCCTTTGGCGGAATAAAGGCCCAAACATTACTTATTTGTTCGAAATGGCGTTCCTGAACAAATAAGTAATATTTAGGAATGCGAGTCCTTAACACATTGAACAGTCAAAATTGTTAACGCTTGTAGAAGTTTTCATTTTTTCAAGTTCGGGAATACAGGCGAATAGATAAGTAATGTTCGAAAATGTAAGTCCAAATATAAAAATTTCTTAACACATTAAACGATCAAAATTGTTAACGCTTGTAGATGTTTTCATTAGAATGGGAACTTTGGAGTCATATTCTAGGTAAATTTGATAAAGTTGTAATTTATACTTGATAAATTTTATATGCTTTTTAACATGATTTGATAACATGTGAAGGTTATAAAATTTTAGTATTTGAGCATCAAGTGTATGATTCAAAACTTGTCTCTACATATTTGCATGCCTTGAGAATGTCTTACTTGAGGTTTAGAAGTTAGTATTTTACCTCTTGAATAGTTGATTTGATTTAAATGTCATGCTTAGGTTAGAGCTCTTCTTACTAAGAATCTGAATTTTAAAAGAAAGAGTGAAAGTTTTGAGTCCTTGAAAAGAATATGAATCTTGAGGCTTAGGTTTAAGCTTGATTTTAATTGTTTTGTGATTTTAAAGTAGTGTATGAAACTTGGAAATGTGAAACCTGAAGCATACAATGAGTTTAGACGTCTCTTGACAAAAATGGGAATTTTATGGTCAAAGTGTATGTCATGTTATAAGAGTATGAGCTTTAAGCATCAATTTTAAATTTGATGTGACGTTACCTAACGAAAATCAAGATTGGGTATTAAAATTATATTGGATTAATTGCAAATACACCCCTTAAGGTTTATTAAAATACAAATTTTTCCTTCATGTTTGAGAAATTACATCCCACCTCTTGAGGTTTTCAATCACATAACAAATGGCCCCTCCATTAATCAACCGTTAAGTTAAACTAATAGTGTATGATGTAAGTGTGGGCACCACACCTATTTTCATGGGGCGCACTATCCCAAGTGTTGAATTTGATTTTCCACTCTTTTTTATTTATTTATTATTATTATTTTAAATCGAGTGTGAATTGTTGAGGTTTAAAAATGGCAATACATCGTTTTTCTCCCAAGTCGTTGGATTCCATCTCATTTTCTGAGGGACATATCAAGGGATAATTGGCAAATATAGATTGATTCACAAAGATTGGAGTCACCACCGCCTTTTTATGGGGAAAACTGGGAAACCCTAACTTCATGTTAATTTAGGCTATTGATACGTCATTACTAAAAATCTTGGTTTGACAATTTAGGTACGAAAAGGGAATGTCATTGATTGAGTACTCCTTTCGCCCAATCTAAAGTATTGGTCTATACTAATTTCTTTCTTAGAGATGTATTTTTGTATTTAATTTATAAATTGATTTTAATTACCTATGCCCTTAGACTAACCTATCAACTATGTATATCCCTTTTTCCTTCCAAAAATCGTTTTAGGAAGGTTTCAAAAAATGAAAATTTTTTGAAAATGGAAACCTACAGAGACCAAGAGTTTTAAACCAAGCCAAGCCAAGCCAAGCCTTAAGTCCCATCAAATTGGGTCGGCTGTATGAATCCTTCTTCTCCATTCGACTATATCCAAGGTCATTTCGTTTGTCAAATTAAGGAGATTCATATGTATATTTACTATACTGGTCCACGTCTAGGTCTATCCCTTCCTCTAAGACTACTCTGCTGGGGTTGCATAACAACTCCGCAGGGGCTGCTTAACAACTCCGCCGGGGCTGCTTAACAACTCCGCCGGTCCCAAGCTCGGGTAAAAGAGGAGGGTTGTGTGTTAGGTAGCCGACAACCAACACGTTAAAAAGGCTGCTTGGATCCTTCATGACGCGATGCCTAATACTTTGTACCAAGAGTTTCTAAAAACAATTTTTTTTTTTCTCTTTTCTGACAGTGAGATGGAAACAACCTAGGCAATAGAAACTTGCTCAAACATGCAAATGACACAGATAAGCAAGTATAACAAATGGAACAAGAGAAAAACATGCCATTCATGGGAAGTGATGCAATCTCACACAATAGATGGAAAAACAAGAGAGGGAGACTTACTGAAATTCTCAGCACCAAAGCCATGAAAACATGATTAGTATTATGTACATATGACCCTAGATATGAAACTGATGCAAAAGCTCACAATATAAGATTCTAGAGACTCTGTAAGCACTATACCATGATGAATATGCATTATAACATGATTTTATCCATACAAATTAATTAAACAAAATTAAACGCAACAACTGACATGTAAAAATGGTGGGTTACCCGACCTATATACATGATGTGCATGTTATGAATCTTAAAACAACTATACAAAATGCAAAAGAGTGCAAAAGTAGCAAAAAGAAATGATAAACTACTCTAGCATCATGAAACATGCATGACTTCTATCTAACCATTATTAGATATGAAATCACGATGAAAGTACATGGAAACAGTGGGTAAATAGAAGTTTAGCTATGGTTTGTCGAACAAATTGAAGGATGCAGCGTAAACTATCAAGAGATGGGCTTAGGATTGCTCCCCTCAGATTTAAGATTCTTGGTACAACATGTCTTTACTTTTTGGCAGCTCAAGGACACCTTTAGGTTTCTGGAATTAGGGTTGGATGTTTGGAGTTAGTGTGTATAGATGAAGTTAGATTAGTATGGTGTTTTTGCCTCAGTTATTCATCCTCGTTAAAAGAGGAGGGTGTATTGCCGAGGGACTTGGGGGAAAAGCATATACATATTAGGTCAAAATCCTAATGTTGTATATACATAGCTGCACTGTGTGCCGCCTTGCCATAAACAGAATGGAATACAAAATTTTGCAAAACTTGATCTACACGCGTTCAGGTCAAAACATGCGGCTGCACATCGTCAATGCAACCACATGTTTGCGAACTCGTTTTTGTGGTTGTAGGTGTTGACTTGTGGTTTGGCCATGGAATGTGGCTGCACCTTTTGATCAATGGGCCCCACTTTGCTTTGTGCTGTAGTTCAATTTCTAAGTGTTTTGTCTACCCCTCGTGTATTTAATCAATTCCTAATTGACCTTTTAGAGAAAAAATTGATTTTGGGTATTCTTATTGAAGAACGGGCAATTTGGAATTGATTAGCTTGCGATCACACCCCTCTTTTACCTTTTTGAAAACATTTTGAGAACACTGATTTGGCCAAGGTCGAAAATATTTTGAAAGTTGGCCTTATTCAGAGGAATGCTAATCTAGCAAACCTATTGGTAGTCCAAGAACGCCATTGCATTGGAAATGTAACAATATCGCACCATCTCCCACTCTCGATTAGAACCACCGTCATTGTCTACAAGCATTTAGTGTGTCGCCGAGGAGGATTAGAGAATATTGTGATAGTGTAAAGAGAGGAATTTAGTGGTGGGTGGATGAAAATGAGAGTAGTATGATAATTTCATTTTAGTATTAGAGGGTATTTGGAATTCATATTTTTGACAGACCTTAGGGATGTATTTGTAATTTATCCAATTATTATTTGGATCACATCTAGGAAAACTGGGAGCATTTGTAAAAGATAGAAGTTTGTAGCTTGATTGGGAACAAGATTAATTTCTAAGGACAATGTTGGTTCTTGTTTTAAAATTGGATAAAAAGTCAAGTTTGAGTGAAGTGAATTATTTAAGTATCTGTATTGGTTATGAATAATTTGGGGCATATATGTTAGTGTTATCATGGAAATAGTAAGAATTGGTACTTTGGGTAAAACTTAATGTGAAACATTTTAAAAAATGTTGGATTAAGGTTATGTTGTGACTTAAGGCATTGTAATGAGAATGAAAAAGGTTAACGGAAATCCAAGTGACATCTGTTTGATAGTAAAAGGTGTCTAGTGTGGCTTTTGAAAAGGAAAAAAAATGGAAATGTTGGTTATGTGGAAGTTTCAAATTGTTTAAACTTATTAATTATATGTACTATATTGAGTTGAAGTTAAGTTTGAGACTATATCTAGGATGTAAGCCTGAACCTGCAATGGCTCGAGTAGTCAATCATTACCGGTAAACAACATTATGAGATTTTGAGTACTCTGTAAAATATATAATATATTTTACCTCCATAGATGATGCACAAGCAGGAGGAGTGATTATTTTGTTTTAGGCCGTACCTATGTTACTTGTTTTGTTTATTGGGTTAAAAATCATTTCAGGTGGAAGGCCAAGATGATTACTTCCTGGCTTTTGAGAAGCTTGGGACGAGTTTGGAGGATTTTGTCAATGAACATAAAAAATTGTTTTGTAATAATAGACATCTGATTTCCAGTCTATATCAGAATATTCTTATGTAAGTGGTGCAATTTTATGTCTTAAATAATTAAGCTGTTATTTTGTTTCTTTTATGATTTTTTAACATTTTCTTTTAAATGTAGTGATTTAATCCGATTATGTCAGCATCTAAAGACAGTGGAAGTGAAACCTCTATTGAGCTTGACAAACATTTTTGTCTTGCGCAATAGCAATGACAATGATTCTCTGCATCTTACCGTAGTAGATTTTGATTTTAGAGGTAAAATATATATATTTAAACCACAAATAAATTGACAGTTATTTGCAAGATTATTTTTTAACGGAAACTTGATTGTGAATAGATGGTCCCAACATGGATTGTGTTCTGTTGGCAATGCTAGTTGAGCAAATTAATGACGCTTGTGACTATGAACCGTGTGGAAGTCTAGAAATGCACACATTCGTGGGTTGTTTGAAGACGGCTTACGAGAAGTAAGCAATTTACTCTCAAATAATTGCATTTTTTTTTTTTGTGCTTATTTATATTAATACTTGCAAAAGTATTTTCTTTGTAGTTTCTTTGCCGAGTTATATAAACAGCCTGTCTTGTGGACATTGGACGAGAGGAGATCATTCACATGCGACCTTTGTGAATGCTTGAATACCTTTCCACTTCCGATTTACCATGAAGTTCAAATTTTTACTAAAGATCCATTAAGGTGGAAAGATGAATTTCGAAGGCACAATAAGTTATCAAAATTGAAGAAAGGGATTGAAGCTGCTGAAACAGCATATAAGATGAAAATGGGCACGCATCAAAAGGGTAGTGGTAAGGGGAAACATAATTATAGTGCAATGGTCCAAAAGGAGAATGCAACAAGAGATTGCTTAGGTCTTATACGGAAGAGCTATGCACACATTGATGAGGTGAAGCAGCGTCTTCAAGACTCGGTAAAACGAATTTGAATATTCACTTAATAATTTAATATTTATCTCTTTCTTTAAAAGTTTTTGTTTTTAATATTCACTTAATGATTTAATATTTATCTCTTTCTTTAAAAGTTTTTGTTTTTAATATTCACTTAATGATTTAATATTTATCTCTTTCTTTAAAAGTTTTTGTTTTTAATATTCACTTAATGATTTAATATTTATCTCTTTCTTTAAAAGTTTTTGTTTTTAATATTCACTTAATGATTTAATATTTATCTCTTTCTTTAAAAGTTTTTGTTTTTAATATTCACTTAATGATTTAATATTTATCTCTTTCTTTAAAAGTTTTTGTTTTTAATATTCACTTAATGATTTAATATTTATCTCTTTCTTTAAAAGTTTTTGTTTTTAATATTCACTTAATGATTTAATATTTATCTCTTTCTTTAAAAGTTTTTGTTTTTAATATTCACTTAATGATTTAATATTTATCTCTTTCTTTAAAAGTTTTTGTTTTTAATATTCACTTAATGATTTAATATTTATCTCTTTCTTTAAAAGTTTTTGTTTTTAATATTCACTTAATGATTTAATATTTATCTCTTTCTTTAAAAGTTTTTGTTTTTAATATTCACTTAATGATTTAATATTTATCTCTTTCTTTAAAAGTTTTTGTTTTTAATATTCACTTAATGATTTAATATTTATCTCTTTCTTTAAAAGTTTTTGTTTTTAATATTCACTTAATGATTTAATATTTATCTCTTTCTTTAAAAGTTTTTGTTTTTAATATTCACTTAATGATTTAATATTTATCTCTTTCTTTAAAAGTTTTTGTTTTTAATATTCACTTAATGATTTAATATTTATCTCTTTCTTTAAAAGTTTTTGTTTTTAATATTCACTTAATGATTTAATATTTATCTCTTTCTTTAAAAGTTTTTGTTTTTAATATTCACTTAATGATTTAATATTTATCTCTTTCTTTAAAAGTTTTTGTTTTTAATTGTGCAGGATCTCGACTGTGAGGAGCAGTTGCAAATTCTGTTTGAGTATACTTTCCCACGCCACATAGGGGAATTGAGGAGACAAGCTATTACAATGGAAAGTACTTTACATAAAGTACTGTTGCACCGCCCGACAAGGCTGATTCAATGATGTGTGAGGTGATCTTATAGTTCTTTATGAAGGAGCATCAAGATGAAATATGAATTAATATCTTTTCTATAAACATTTTTGACTGTATTATTAATATCTTTTCTTATAGTGGCTTTTGAAGGAGCTTCAATTCACTTGTATAATTAATATCTTTTCTATGAACATTTCTGACTGTTAAATATTTTTCAAAGATCGTGGACACCAAAATTGGTGAGGAGAAGGCTGTTACAATTTCCATGGATGATGGAATTTGTCCAAACACAAATACGACTATTTGGCAAAAATGAAGCCTGCATTCAAGAAGGATGAATCCACGATTGCTGGTATTCAAATAATTTTGTGTTTCTAAAATGATTTACTTTGGAGTTCATGCATTTGTTTTGTAACGCCCTCAAAATAAATCCATAATATATATAACATTGACATGAATTAATAAAAGAAAACCAACCATTATATCATTCATCAGAGTATTCTTATTGAAAAGCATTACATGTAACATCAAAAGTAAATGCCCTACGGGCTTACATCTTTCCAAGCCAACACTTGGACACAAAATATGAGTACTAACTCAACTACAAATTAAGCCCTTGGCTTGAGTGTTTACATGTAATATCAAATAAAATAA